AAAAACTTACTGATGCTGCAGTTCCTCCCTTCAAAGCCAATAGGGCATGCGCAAGTGTAGTTATTTACACCATCTATGCATGTTCCATTGTTTACACACGGGTAAGGATCACAGTCATCAGTGTCTGAAAAAATGCAAGAAAAACCGACTTACAGTGTAACACAATAAACACAATTTTTACAACTGCAGCTGACGTAAATGTCTTCCATTTCAACTTCAAAGCGATGCCCTTGGCTATTGAATTGAAGCTATGTTTATTAAAGCTATGAAGAACTTACTGATGGTGCAGTTCTTTCCTTCAAAGCCAGGTAAGCAAGCACAAGTGTAGTCGTTCACTCCGTCAATACATGCTCCATTGTTTTCACACGGGCTGGGATAGCATTCGTTAATATCTGACAAAAAGCCAAGATGCACAATATTATTAAAGCGATCCCGTTGGCTAATGAATAATAAGATTCATTTGATTAATAAGATTGAACTCATTTACATTTTAAATTTAAAAGGTTTGAACCCAGGAGTCATTTCAAAAATAGGTTGAGTTTGATCGTCCGGGTGAACGTAATCCTGAATAGGACTGTTGTTGTTGACAGTGATTGACGTTTCAACAACCTGTGCGGTAGTCATCTTCAGAGTCAAAATGAGTTGTATCACGTCAGTTGATGGTATTATAGCGGAGCTCTCGAGCGCGAAGCACCATGGGTAAGAAAATATGGTAAACTACCCATCCGAGAAAATTTGGTATTCACTTGACCGTACATCGACCGCTCGACCGTCCGTCCGCACCACAGGCATACCAACGCAAAATTTCGGTTAGTCTGTGGTGCGGGGTTTTTGGCGTGAAAGCGAATGGCAAAATCAGAAGTTATGAGAATAAAATAAATGTTGTCTGTACAGAAGCATGCTTTCACTGTTTAGACTGAGAGTCTTACAGCTTTTTTAGCATGTATTCGAAGAGCCCGCCACCCACCCCATCCCGCGCCGTACTGTTTTCACTCAGCGGCTGGTCAGCGGTCACCTTTATGAGGTAAACATGGCGATCACTTCCTGATCACTGTTCTTGTCGATCAGAAAATCAAAATACCAGCGTGATATTGCCTCGAAGATTAAGCAGTTATGTTGATTGATTCGTACTTCACATTCAAGTCGAAGCTTGGGTGGCACAGGTTATTTCTTACGGTGGAATCGACGAGGGGGAATTCGAACACTAGTTGTAGCGTTTGAATTGTTGGAAGAAATGGTCTCATGGGGATGTAGGAATGGTAGGTTTAACGAACAATTTCAAATTTTGCCCCTTGAATTGAAAGTGGAGTTCATTTGAATGCTTTCGTATGTATTTCTGACGGTTTTAGATCTACCTGCTCGATTTATATCTGCTAAGCTTCATGTTGACAAGTCCCTCAAAGTGGCGGCCAAACTTAAAGGTTGCCGAAAATTAGGTAAGTTCACGGAGTTATAAAGTTTTAGTAAAGGTCGGGCGGCAAAGTTTTTTACTCTAGTTACCTGTTCTATGGCACCTACTTCCTATCTATATTAGTTGGATCAGTTAAGAACGCCTCACTTTTTCAAAAATTTACCTTGAATTTGATCGGTTTTCGCGTGTGTGACTTGGTGACCGTGTGACTTAAGCTGACCGATATAGTTTCACTCAAGTCTTCCTGTTTGCTTTATTGAAACGTGAAGTTCACGAAAGTCGCCTCGATGGATAAGATAGAGTTAATATACATGTCTGTGGTATTTATTTTTTGCTGAGTTCCGTAGTTTTTTTGTAAATTGTCCTCCAAAGTTGTCTCAAATTAAAGTCTTGAAAAGTGTCACGACAGGCCTTCGCTCGAGTGAAATTTAATTTCCGTAAAACTCTGAAAAATAAAGAGATCCGTTCAAAAGGATTGTGGTTTTAGTATAGGTACATGAATGTCTTGCAACACACAAGAAATGAGCTAAATCTGTGTCTCAAGCAAAATCAACTGGACCGCTCTTACAGAGACACTCTCTTAAAGCCGTTGATTGAAACATTTACAGGGAGAAAGAGTCTTTGGCTAAATATCAATATATAGCAGTCTGTAAGGAAATGAAATGATAAATGATAAACCTACTGTGAATTAAAATGACGTAAAATCGAACAAACTCTACATATTCCTTCGGAAAAAAAAATTAAAAGAGAAATAAAACTCACTGATGCTGCAGTTCCTCCCTTTAAATCCAGGTGAGTAGTGGACTATGTTGAAAATTAACCCTGTTGGTGGGTTCTCCTTGAGTTCCGTGTCGGTTTCCTTCGCAAAAAGTGGGTTCCCTTTATTAATATGCATAACGGTCGAGTCAATGACGTCATCTATTGTGATAACCTAGGTTCCTCCATATTAATGAAGTGCCTAGTCACTGCCTTCCTGCATACTAATTCGGTATAGGTTTACTAATGAGCGTCACTCTACTTCAATAGGAACAATATATAGGCTTGCCTAGACTTGCCCGGTAAGTAACTTGAGCCCGGTTTTCGGACCGTCTATTAAAAGAAAAATAGGAATATGGGAAGCGATCACCTAGCAACGGCTTCCTATATCTTATTTAGCGCTAAAACTCAGATATACATAAACAAAACACATACAGAAAGTGGAGTTGAAAAGTCTTTATTTCAGTTTAGTTTATGTCTTCTTAATTAGCTCTAAAACTCGGATATATCAACAAAACATACACAAAGGGGAGCCGAAAACGCTTTATTTCAAGTTTGTCTGACTATTACAGAACCGTTTTCTCCCATCTCTCTCGAGGAAATGCAAGTCTTGTCATTTTCACGCACGGTTAATCAGTTAATTATGCGAGTTCACAAGCCCAAAGTTGAATACAAATAAGCTCTACAGGAAAAATCTCAAGGGAGCAACCTTGACGTATTATTATAAAACAAACAACTTAACAAGGATCAATTAAAACACGCGACTCATAATTGCTAGCGATAAAAACACAAGAGAGATACCGTTTTAAAAAAACTTTATTAAAAAATAAGGACAAAAAGAGTCAAGTACACAGGAATGGAAATTAATTAATCTTCATCTTCGTTCTCCTCTGTAGAAGGGGAATAGAAATTGGTTTCCAACGTCTTCGCGTTTTTGTGTGTAACTGCTCCGCAATCGTGACACCGAAGAAAGCCCACTTTCATGTAATGTCTCCCCTCTGGAATCTGGTGATCGCATATAGGACAAATCTTGTAGTAATCGTGCCAAAGGCATTTAGGACATTTCATGATCAATGTCCCATACACAATAGAGTTCTCGCAGTGTTCACAGGGACTTTTGGAGTGAAATGTGGTGGACGTTTCAGGGTTACTACTTTCTATCTCCTGACTGTCGTTTTCAGTGTCGTTGTCGCTCTCTTGGGTGTCTTCCACTTCAACGCCATTCTCAGAAGCCAGTTCCTCCTCCTGATTTTCAATATCCGATGAACTCTCCTCATTATTACTCTCGTTATCGGAAGTATTTTCTACAGTTTGGTAGCTTTTTCCTTTTCTATTAAATCACTTAACAACTTGTTGTTCTTGATTAAACCTTTATCGATTCCTAACTCTGCAAGTTCATCTAGAAACGTATTCAGCGCACGAGGCTTGGTAACCTCATTCTTATGAGGGAGTAACACATACTCAACTAGCTCAGCGATGTTTGTGACGGGAATAGTGCGTTTATTTCGAAGTAATTGTCCGCTGGGGGTCCAGAAAAGAATATCTTTGGATGCAGCAATACTATGCAGCAAATCAGAAGCACGCTTCTCCGGCACTTCTCGGAAAAGATGACTCAAAACATCTTTTATTCTCGGTTCTTCTTTTATTCTTGGTTCTTCATCCTCGCTTTCATCACCAGAACTTTCGCTTTCTTCATGTTCACTCTCGTGTTCTTCTTTTTCAACCAAATCTATCTTTCTCTTCATTTTTGATGAGTACCCGTGACAGACTTAGGTTCGAATAATCAACCTAGCGATGCGTCACCTCTTTTATAGCATTAGAAATCCTAAGCTTGAAACAACAGGGGCCAATGCATCTTCACTAAAACCACTACCATCTTGTACAAGGACTCACTTCTTTGGTTTGTAAGGGACATTTGGTCTGGCCAGGTTAAGTAAAGCATCCTTATGTGGCAGCAATATCCGCTTATTTTCTTCGGAGATAGGAATGTGTCCCATGAGTATATTGTATAAGACTTGGACTAGTGCATGTAGTTGTTGTGGAGTAGCTGTCTTTAAAAGAAACTGGCGCTGATAAGCAGGGCAATCAGCTAACAGCTAAAGAAAACCACGATTGTTGTCACTACACGAGACATTGCTTCAAAGTGAACTAAAGATGGCAGTTGGCAGTCTTTTGTAGAATCTCGTGGAGAAAAAAAATGAAACGAGTGGGCGAAGGATAGAAAACAATAGAATGAGGAGCAGGAGAAGGAGGAAAACAATAGAAATGAGGAGCAGGAGGAGGAGGAAAACAATAGAAATGAGGAGGAGGAGGAGGAGGAGGAGGAAAAACAATAGAAATGAGGAGCAGGAGGAGGAGGAGGAGGAAGAGGAGGAGGAAAAGCAATAGAAATGAGGAGGAGGAGGAGGCGGAGGAGGAAAGAAAACAATAGAAATGTGGTGGTGGTGGTAGTGGTGGTTTTAGGGGAGGAAAACAATATAATTTTGTGGCCTGAAAACCTATATAAATGCGCAACCTTCTACCTCTTTCACAGTCTACATTTTGCTCCTGAGGAGTTGACATGAGTTGGCTCTGTTCTGTCTGCGAAAAATCCTTTAATAGAAAAGATAATATGCAAAGGCACGTGATGTCTAAACACCGCAATGCTGGTCTCACCCCATTTCAAACAGTTCCAGTGTTTTCACAGAAATGTCAGCGGTTTCGCTTCGAGCACCCTTTCACCTCCATGATTGCCGGAATGACCGGGTCCGGAAAAACGGCCTGGGTTCGATCGCTATTGCAACAAGCTTCAGAGACCATTTACCCTCCCCCGGAGAGTATCGTTTGGTGTTATTCGCAATGGCAGCCTGCGTATACACAAATGTTAGTCGCCATGCCAAACATTGAATTCGTCAAGGGAATTCCTAAGGCTTTGGAGCAGGATTCCTATTTTGATGTGAACAAACGAAATTTGATCGTGTTTGATGATCAGATGATTGACGCCAGTAAAGACAAGCGAATTTTGAACCTCTTTACTCGTGGTTCTCATCATCGCAATCTGAGCGTGATTTATATCGTGCAGAATCTATTTCATCAGGGGAAAGGTAGCCGCAGCATAAGCCTAAACAGCCATTATCTGGTGTTATTCAAGAATCCACGAGACAAATTGCAAATCCTGACTCTGGCAAAGCAAATGTATCCCGGGCAGACTGATTTCTTTTTTAAATCAGTACGAAGAGGCTGTAAAAAGACCTTTTGGTTATCTTCTGATTGATCTAAAAACTACTACCCAAGATAATTGTCGGTTGCGAACAAACGTCCTACCCAGTGAAGAAGGCTTTAACCAACAAGCAGGGTTTCAAGAAAACATTCCTCAAGAGCTTCTTAAATATCTGAAGCAGCAAACTCTTTCTCCTGTCCCGCTTCTTCCAGCTATGCAAGAAATACAAGGCAACATGGATGACGTGCTTTCTCGAAACGATCTTCGGGACGATGAAAAAGCTAAACGATACCTTCAGTTGCAAAACAGATACCTGGCTTTTAAAGAACAATTAAATACAAGAACACGACCGGAAGAAATAATCAGCACTGTTCCAGACTTAACATTAAGGACACAAGATTCTTCGACAGCAACGACAGCATTCTCGACTCCCCTCAACCCCTTTAATGTACCACCTGAATTAACAGAAGCGGCTATCTCTCAAAAACCTGACAAAGAAAGCCTCACCCCTCCACCACCCTTAAATCCTGCTTTCCTGACCCCTCCTCCCACAGTAGAAACCCCATCACAACATAACCGAAGCGCAAAAGGCGTCGGATTCAATTTCTGAATTATTTGGATGATCATAAATCTCATGGCAAACAGCTTAAGAAACGTCGGCATAAGAAAATGAAACCTTACAAGTACTCCATGGGTGAAGATGAAGATTAATTAATTTCCATTCCTGTGTATTTGACTCTTTTTGTTTTTAATAAAGTTTTTTAAAACGGTATCTCTCTTGTGTTTTTATTGCTAGCAATTATGAGTCGCGTTTTTTAATTGATCCTTGTAAAGTTATTTGTTTTATAGTAATACGTCAAGGTTGCTCCCTTGAGGTTTTCCTGTAGAGCTAATTTGTATTCAACTTTGGGCTTGTGAACTCGCATAATTAACTGATTAACAGCGCGTGAAAATGACAAGACTTCAATAGTTTTTCATTTCCTCGAGATAGAAAGGAGAAAACAGTTCTGTAATGGTCAGAAAAACTTGAAATAACGCGTTTTCGGCTCCAATTTGTGTATGTTTTGTTTATATATATGAGTTTTAGCGCTAAATAAGATATAGGAAGCCGTTTCTCGCGTTGCTAGGTGATCGCTCTTATTTTCCTTTTAATAGACGGTCCGAAAACCGGGCTCAAGTTACTTACCGGGCAAGTCTAGGGAAGCCTATTGTTCCTATTGTAGTAGAGTGACGCTTATTAGTAAACCTATACCGAATTAGTATGCGGGAAGGCAGTGACCAGGCACTTCATTAATATGGAGGAACCCATTTTTTCCCTAGGCTATCACAATAGATGACGTCATTGACTCGACCGTTATGCATATTAATAAAGGGAACCCACTTTTTGCGAGGGAACCCACACGGAACTTAAGGGGAACCCACCAACAGGGTTAATTTTCAACATAGTCCCTTACTCAGGTGGGCATGCGCAAGTATAGTTATTTACACCATCTATACATGTTCCATTGTTTAGACACGGGTAAGGATCACAGTCATCTGTGTCTGACAGAAACCGAGAAAAACAAACTTAACTCGACAATTTTTAATGGTCAAACGTATTGTACATAATAGCACCCTGAAAACGTTCCAGTTGACTGATGAATTAAATAAGGTTGTTTTAATGCTTACTAGTGGTGCAGTTCTTTCCTTCAAAGCCAGGCGCGCAAGCGCAAGTGTAGTTGTTCAAACCGTCTAAACATGTTCCATTGTTCTCACATAGGCTGGGATAACAGTCATCAATATCTGTGAAACCATGATGTGCACACGTTAAGCGATTGGATATGCCTTAATTTTTTTATGCATCCTTTTTAAAAACAAATAAATAAGTGAACAAAAAATAAGCAAATAAATAAATGATTAAATAAATAAAAATAAAATAAAACTATAAAAAATTCTTAATAATGAATTTATCTTTCACTATTGTACATTTAACTTATTTATTTATTTACTAAAAGATAAATACTTTTCATTTATAAGGGCTAAACTGATGTGCCGTTAGTGTAGGAAAACCTTCAAAGATTGGCAGGAAAAATAATGAACAAACAAAGTTAACAATTAAACGTAGGCCCCCGAAAAGGGAGTCGGACGTAAAATGGTTCATATTTTAATCTAAAGACACCCACATTATACAACAACACGTAAATTCCTTCATAAAAAAGTAATAATAATAATAATAATAACAATAATAATAATAATAATAATAATAATAATGATAATAAAACTTACTGATGGTGCAGTTTCTCCCTTCAAAGCCAGGGTGACATGCGCAAGTATAGTTATTCACACTATCTATGCATGCCCCATTGTTTACACACGGGTAAGGATAACAGTCATCAGTGTCTGAAAAAGAGGAAAAACAGAATTAATAAGGCAACCAAAACAATTTTTACTGGTCCAACGGACGTTATTGTGCACTACAGCCCTATAAAAAATTCCTGTTGACTGTTGAATTAAAAGATATCTTTATTAAAAATTGTTTAAGAGTATACCAATGGAGCAGTTCTAGTCTTCAAATCCAGGTACGCAAGCGCAAGTGTAGCTGTTTACACCGTCAATACATGTTCCATTGTTTTCACACGGGCTGGGATAACAGTCGTCAATATTTGATGAGGTACCAAGTCAAACACACTATATACTTTCGAATATATGCACCTGACCACACAACATTGGGATATTACGAAGCCATAATTTGCCTGTGTTCTTGTCTCTATTAGCTAAAATGGATAGTACGTTGTGCACAGTTGTCGGCACAAAGGTCAGGTAAGACAATCAAAACGACTTTTCTGGTCTAGCTTTATTTTAATCACCACATCACCTGAAAAACGTTCCCATTGGCTAATGAATTGAATTTTTTTCTTAATTTTGCTGAAGAACTTACCAATTGAGCAGTTCTTTCCTTCAAATCCAGGTACGCAAGCACAGGTGTAATTGTTCACACCGTCAATACATGTTCCATTGTTTTCACAAGGGCTGGGATAACAATCATCGACATCTGATGCCAAAAAAAAAAAAATCCTGGAGCCCGTATACGTAAATGTAGTTATTCACATTATCTATTCATGTTCCATTGTTTATACGCGGGTAAGGATCACAGTCATAATTGACCGAAATGAACAACAACAAAAACTGCCCTTTTGGACTTAAAATGCCCCCCACTTTGCCTTGAAAACGCCCCCCATTGCCCAATCAATAAAAAAAATGTTGATTTAAAATGTTTAAGAGCTTACTGATGGTGCAGTTTTTCCCTTCAAAGCCAGCTACGCAAGAGCAGGTGTAACTGTTCACACCGTCAATACATGTTGCATTGTTTTTACAAGGGCTGGGATAACAGTCATCAATATCTGATAAGAGAAAAAAAAAATTTCCTAGCGCCCATTTTTCAGTAAAGGAGAACCTTTTTATGTATTACGCGCTATTGCACCTAGGAAACGTTCGTATTAAAAATTATAGACTTGCTTTTGTTTCATCTATCAATTATTTTGTTTTCCTATTTCAAACCACGTACTACCCCAGAGAACTGTTTCTCCGTAAAGTCGGAGTGCTGTTAACGGGTATATGTATGCTTAATTGTGAAAAGAAAAAAAGGCAAATTCCCCTAAGAACGTCACGCGGTCTGAATTTGGTAAACCAGCCTTTTAAGCTGGAGGAAAATAAATAACCAAACAAAGGGCCAAGGTGTATGGAAAAATGATTCTTCATCGCAGGTCAATATTCAATCTTTGATTCAAACTTAGATACAAAGTCATCAGAAAATAGAGATAGAGAGAGGAAGAGTTTTATTGGCATGTGCTTTTAATTAAGAAAGCCTGCGTAGCTGAAGATATCACTGCGACCTCTTACATAATAACATACATGTGTCCTTAGAACAGACAAAAAGAACGAGTTGTATGCTACCTTTGTAGACGCATCTTAACCGAGTTAGTCATTAGGTGTTCTTTTTGTTTAAATATTTATTATATTCCTTTTGCCATATCGCAGACAACCTTATAATAAAAATGAATTTAAAAACAAGGAAAAGGGAAAAAAGAATTAAGTGAGCACTGGCGAGATGGCTTGAAGGAAAATACACTGAATCTCAAAATAGAAATGTTAAACATATCAATAACAATATCACGTTAACAAAACCAGCAGAACAATAATAAGGGTCACTTACCAATAGTAGTTGGAGTTAAAGCAGTAGGGGGTGCAGTGGTCATTCCAGGTGAGAGAGCATCAAACGGTTGCAGACTGCAATTCGCCATACCAACAGTAAATGTTATGTCATCAAGGGCAATGTCGCCAGTGAAGCTATTTCCACGAATTCCTTCAAACACAACCTGTTTAAAACCGATAATAAAGTTCAGATATAAAATGCACTCTGATTGCTTGAAAAAACATGTTTTATGAGAGTAAAAAACATGGCTCGGCGCTAAAGCTGTCACGCGCCATCTGTGAATCACATCATGCGGTAGTTTTCAAGACCAAAGTTTCGCATTTTAGGGTTAAAAATACACCGTTAAAAGACAAAAATGGAATTGGAAAGGTCAAATAAATGCTCAATTTTCTTTTTGTGGACTAAGGAAAAGCTTTTGGTTACGAAATCGTCCTTCGAGGAATTCAAATGTTATCTTCACGGCTTTTGAAATTAAACCAAGGCAGCGAAGTTTTTGACGACATTAAAAAAAAAAAAAGGAGATTTATGACTGTACGAATGTTCCACAAACGCTTTGTAAATTTTGTCATCGGCGCTAAAGAAAAATTGCAAAATGCACCCCGATTTGAGTTGGATTTTGAGTCGAATTTTGCCATCTGCTCATCAAATTTTACTGGCTTTTAAGGATTAACTTCTTAATTTTTTTATTAAACATTTTGAAGAAATAACTTCTCCGTCTATTGTTTTTAGTTTTTTCATTCATAACATTAGTTTAAAGCACGATCGCAAGACTATAGCATCACTCATCTTCGAAGACGTCGGCGAATTTTATAGAATCTTTAATTCAGGTTCAGTTTTGAGCTCTTTTCGATACAGAGCTAAA